AAGGTTCGATAACCTTCCAGAACTCGCAAGTCACGCAAAATGAAAAATTCGGCGTCGATTTTTGGGTCTGTAGCCCTTTTCTTCTTATCATTCCATAATTACTTGAAGTGTTTTGGACTAATTGTACTTAATTGGTCGGTATAAGTAGCCTGTTTACGCCATATTTCCTGTAGGGTCAATCATCCTTATCCATGTGGCTAACTCGTTGATACGTGCCTCATTCCTCCTTTACTTAAAAAAAAAAAGATGTACGTCAACCAGTATTCTGATGATGTCTTGTAGATGCTTACATTGAAAACAAAGTTCTTAGTGAGTCGGTTTAAGTCGATTAAGCACATTTTCATGGCTCGAGTATCCTTAACGAAAAACCTACAGTTTTGAGAAATGCTACAGCCGCCGGATGGTTGACAATCGTCGCTAACTGAAAAAGGGAAGCTGCTTTCAAACCAACACGCGGCGAAATTTTGTTGAAGATTATTCTTAAAATGGAGGTTCTATTTTAATTCTTACTTAGGCCTGTATAATGGCTCGGTTTCTACATGGGAAATTGGAAAAGCTCAATATGTTTGAGAGAAACTTAACACCCAGATCAGAGATGTTTTCCTCGCAATCCAAATTAAAAATAACTCTCACTTTCGATTCCGTTCACTGTTTTCTTTTCAAAAACGCCTCTTTTGACCAAAGTTCAGTCAATTAGCACGGAAGATGTCGCTCAACCAATTTCTCTTATTTTTTTTCTTTTAAAGAAAAGAAAATCCGTTTATAGCTCATTTCAACGGGAAATTCCCTGCTCTAGACCGCTCACTGTTTTTTTTTCTTCAAAAACGCCTCTATTGACCAAAGTTCAGTGAATTACTACTTGCTACTTAAAAGTGGACATAAAAATTGATCCACAAGACTTAATTTATACCCAAAACCTCACAAATTACTCAAAATAATTACGTGACATCAAGCAACGGTACAAGCATCAACCACAAGTACACGATACAACCTAGTACTGAAAAGTAAAAATACTCGCAGGTAACTGAAGCGTAAACGGGAATATAATCAAAAAACTATCTGACTATAAGTTTCACTATAATAATGCATCACAGTCGTTGACGTTATTTTTTGTTGTGTTCCTCATTCCAGCGTCATGTAAATTGAAACTGAATTCCAGCTTATAGGCTTGCTGAGAGCCTTCGGATGAGGCTTTTCTCGGATATTGCGGTACTCAAACCGTCAGAGCTTTCTAATTTTGGTTCAATTATTAACACTCGGGGTAGGTGACTGCTAATTGGTCCTTATGACATTACATACCTTTGCACGGGGAATGTCAACACAGTTAAAGTTGGACGTCAGGGGCAATGAAAACGAATTTTCCTTTTGAAGTAATCTTCATTATACCCGGAAACAAACTTGCAAACAGTGTTAAGGCCTTTTTAGTTTTATGCTTTATTTCATTACTATTCTTTTACAAAAAATATAGGGTTCCGCAGGTTCCGCGGGTTCCACAGGTTCTACAAGTTCCCCAGGGTCCGCGGTCTGCTGATCCAAAATTTAGTAACATCGACTTAAGCTAGACGCAACCCTGAAGCACGCTGACGAAGGAAAACCAATAGTGCGGCTCATTTCAAAGACAAATTACCGACTACAAGGAAACGAAAGTGCTTACGTTCGAACAAAACATTTTCATAGAAGCGTGATGTAAAAATAACTAACGTGTAGTCGATGATAACCCATATCTCTAGAAGACAGTTACATTACATTGCATTTAGACGTAAGTTTAATTATTTGAAAACTGGAGATCCACGACCTAACAAATAGTTTCAACTGACTAAAAGAACGCTTAAAAGTTCTTATGAAAAAAAATGGTGAAATTATTCTAATAAAGCACGTTAAGAAAGAGGAGGTAATCAAAAGTTGGTCATGCTCAGAGATTTTCATGAGTTTTTCAGTCGCTCGACTGATTACGTGAAGGAGGGCAAGGACGCGTAACCTTATTATTGCCTAACCACTCAATATCTACTCGCAAAGAGATTGAGAGTTCTCGATCTTAAATAAAAAAAAAAACTAGAATCTAATTGCATTGGAGCACACATGCGCTCGGGATGTTGGATATCAATTAAACTCGAGATCGTAGATTGACGACCCTTCTCCTGAAAGATGTGCTTTCACATGTGTTGGCGACAAATTGGTACGATGATCAAATATTTATAAATTCAATATCATTGGAAGAAATCAAAACAAAGCAAAACGCGTACATTTTAATTGCCAGGAGGCCTTTTTTTTCTGCGGGAAATAGAAAATAATTCAGCACAAGGCTACAATTTCATGACGACATTTCCGTTATCTTTAGGTGCGGAAGACCAAGGGAGTGATTGTCTTTACGTATCTCGTCTCACCGGCAAAGATTCGCCTCAATGTGGCTCTTTTGCTGTGCCCTGCCGGACATTACCACAAGCGCTACTTCTAGTAAACGATGGTGGAAAAATTTGCCTCAATGGAATAAACAGTGAGTCAAATCCATACGAATGTTTGAAAACGGTTGGTCCCAATGGAACGAAATTGAGAGCTGTGGGGAAAAGAGTATCGATACAAGGTGTGTCCTCCCCAGCACACATTTCATGTGGCCTAGTATTTGCATCAAGGTTGAAATATGGCTCTGTCAAGGTTTCTTTCTCGAACCTTGTATTCAACAATAGTAGGTATGGATTAGTTTTCTTTAATGTGCCCTCCTATCATGTCGTCATCTCCGACTGCAAATTTATCAATTGCTATAAGGCCATTTCCATGTTGTGGTATAGAAGTCAGGTTTCTTCTTTCATCAATCAAAAGTCTTCACTTGAGGTTACTGATAGCGAATTCCGCAACAACACATACGGCATAGAATTCGGTCCAAAGTTCAAAAACGGTTCCCATAAAGTTTCTTTGTCAAACCTTCTTGTCGACAATGGCACGTATGGTGTATTCCTGGTCAATGTGTCCTCCTTTGATATCGTCATCGCCAAATGCAAGTTTTTCAACTTCTCAGAGGCAGCCGTTGGTCTGTTTTGGAATGAGATTAAGTACGTCATCCGTGAAAAGAGTAGTCTTGTAGCCACTGATAGTAAATTCCGGTATAATGCAAAATCTATTCTTGTCATGCTCCCTAACGACTTCTTTGAGATGACCGTATCAAGATGTCTTTTCCAGAATGCGAAGGGACGATTTCATGTTATAAATGATGATAGAAGTATAAAAGGTGACGTGTTTGTCCGTTCCCAAGCTAGTTCCGTTACAACGTATCCTATCCGCGTGTTAGTCTCAATTACTGACTCTATTTTCCAAGACCTGGGTCACAAAGACAACAGCTTCGCTGTATCCGTAAGAGTTGACAACCTCTTTGGTGATGGGAATGTATCATTATTTAACACGTCGTTTCTTAACAACGAAAATTCTCTCTTTGTGCACGGCGGGTTTGGAGTAAATTTGACTCACGTTACGGTTCATTCCACATACGGGTATGCTATCATGGCCAATGCTCCCCCTAAAACATTAATCAAAGCACCAGGTGTAAAGGTCTTCCTTGAAAGGTGTGTCTTGGTGAACAACCGGATTGGCATAAGGATGTCAACGACTACTTGTTTAACTAATACGAACGACTTTTGTTCAACGGGCGACCAAACGCTTGTTGTAAAAAACAGTCTTATACTGGG